GGAGCCACTTTTAATATCAAATATACATTTCACTTTCTTTTAGGTTATTTTTCTTTTTTAATATCATTTTATTATTAAGATCATGTGCTAGTTCTTAATAACTGGCATCTTTTACCCAATTTCGCACCGATTAACATTCATCACAACAATAGTTATATCTACTTTCATAATTATTAAATTCTTCAATTCCTATTAATGCTCTGTGTTCATTGAAATTCATCCTAATAGATGAATTACGTCTAGGTACACATTTTTGAGAATCCATAAGGTATTAAGGTTTTGACAATGCTTCTGTTCTCCATAATGTATTAAGGTTTTTGAGAATCATCTGTTCTACATAAGGTGTAAAGATTGTCAGAAAAATTCTAAAGTAATTGAATAGGCCTAAGTGGACTTTTGATAAGAAGGAGACAACTACATACATATAGTGTGATTATGATATGCCCATAATATCTATAGTGTTGAAGAATTTGTTGTATATACATTAACTTGTTCTGAATATATATATATATATTATTTTGAAAACAAGTAAAGTGCGTGCTGTTCATTTATCGCCAACAAGTCACTGACACCTACTGTAGAAGAATCCTAAGCCCAACAACAACATAGTATATATTTATATTATTAAGAAGTATAAGTAAAAACCTTTTAATTAACAATTGGCAATCATACCATAACCTAACACAGTTGACAAGCCAAACTATCCTCTCTATTCCTGTCGCGCTAGTATTCTGTGTATGTGATTCACTAACAGTTGTGGCATGAATTACCGCAGTTGTATACTATTCTTCCAGTAATCATTTGGACTTCTTTCTTCTAAATATCCTCTGTTTCTTTTGTCAAAGTGCACTCAAGCTGGTTCAGTTACTTTAGAACCATGCTTTGGTGGAATAAGTTATTATTCTTATCCCCTTTTTTACTGTTAGTCTTACTCTAACATATTAAATGTTGGGCTTATGTTAACAGCTAGGCCTATCACTTCTACTTTTGTTTGGCCATGGCTTTACTCTCTTCTGATATTGTCCATCTGCTGTTTCTGCTCGTCTTTATTCTTGATGTCAGTGTATTGCACATGACATATGATAGTTTCAGTATTAATCAATTATATACATAACTTCCAACAATAATCTGTTTTTAACTCTTATTATAACAAAATTAAACAATCATAAAATATTCACTCACAAAATAAATTAATCAATAATAGCTAAACTAAACAGTATTTTATATCATGACAAAGATATTTGAGAATGCACCTGTTGTCTCTAATGTATAAAGATTTTTGAGAATTCACACGTTCTCCCAAATATATATCAATGTTATACTAATATATATATTCATATTCCTAATAGCGATCATGCAACTAAAAATAGTATTAATCCCATAATTCAATTTTCTTTTTAGATCTCTTATTAACAAGCACAAAGTTAAATAAAAACTAAGATACATAGAAAATCACATAATGTTAACTTTTTTCATTTTTAGTTAAATCATCATTACTCATAATGGTGCCAGTGGAGATGTGTAGGTTGTGTGTTTTAATGTGTTTCTTATGTTTTAATAGTGTGAGTTATTCATTTATATGTACATTTTTTTGGTGTACCTAAAGCTCTGTTCCTTCCGGCCATGGTGACTCCTGAAGAATGCTGTTCAAGAGATGGACTGCTTCACAAACCCTTATGTTTAGCCTGGAGTTCTCATGGCCACAACCATTACATAGCTTTAGTGGGAGTCAGGAAACGTGAGTGAACTAACAGTTCGGTTATGATAACACTTGATTGAAAAATGTTATCATGAAATAATGTTGTTTTAACATGACTAACCTCAATTTATTGTTTAGACTTTAAGGAATAAAAGTCTACATATTTTGTAAAGAACTTCATTTGGTTCATGAAAATGTCCAAAACATTTCCTCAAAAGCATGAGTGCTTTTAAGTAGTAGGTTTTTCTTAATATTATTTATAAATAAATTTGATAATTTATTCTAATAATGTATCTGTTATGTCAATTTAGTAACTGTTTTCGCTGAAATGGTCTTTAATATGTTTTTCCATGTGGATTTGTAACGCAAGATGTTGAACGTCATTTGAGGTGAAAAGTTGTTCACTAATGTTTTGTGAAAAAAAAGGAGTGTGCTTTGATTATCAAAAGAAACAAAGATTTTTGTTAACAGGTTTATTCATGCAAATGGATGTTTGAGATTCCGTGATCAGCAACCACTAAAATACAAACAGTAACTGAGAACCATTAATGGTAACACATGGAAAGGTTAGAAAAAAAAAAGAATAAACAATTGTGCAGTGATAAACAGATTTAACGGAAAATAGCTAAACATATTGTTTATGAAACGTTCAATGGTGTGAATAAACCTGTTGTGAAAAATGTTTGTTTTATCTGTGGTGCTTCTTTTTATAATTTATATTTCCACTCAGTGAATCCATTAAATAAGTGTGCTGTTATCAAGTGACACTCAAATGTGTCACAAAAGCGTATCTGAAACTAATTACAATTGAATAAGATGTTCCACTTTTTTTTAACAGATTTCGTAGAAATAGATTGATAATTAATTGGTATACATTGTGAAAGTATTCTCTTTTTTTCTTCTTTCAAATATCTGTGATTTATTTTACCTGAGAGTAAGTGATGTGATCATGTCCATCCGTGGGTAAATATCCTTGAGAGGTTCATTTTAAAAGGTAGATTTTGAGTGTAAGAATTTCTGGATTGTCTGATCTGTTTCTGCCTTAACTTGATCCATCAAACGTAACTGAAAGAACATTGATCTGAACCTATTTTTTAAAAGAAAGGTTTGTTTCACAGGATCTCTGCCACGCTTACCGAAAAGTCTTGTCCCAAAAGTCTGGGGTGTTCCCCAAGGCTTAATTGATAAATATGTAAAATTTGAAGACAATAACTGCTGTATTTTGGGAGGAGATCGTACCCTAGGAGACTCCTATGTCTTGAGACTGGCCAAAGCAATGGAAGAGGTATTTTGGAAGAGATACGGGGTTCACCCAGAATTAATTGCCGATGTGCATCAGTATGTTTATCGTCGTACAGGTAGGAGATTAAACAATATACAGTGATGAAATTATGAAGAATACGTGGTCATTTTTGTCATGATTTTTAGCAAGTATCATGTAATATTTGTAAGAAACGTTTAGTGAGGAACATTTAAGCAGTACAGTAGTACTGGTGTCTTCTCCAATACTCTTCAGCTGTACACCATCCCAAGATTTGGTTGTTCAAATATATTTTTAAAACTCAAAATTTTTACTTTCAGAAGTTATTCCTAGGTTCTTAACTGCTAACTTTTAGTACTTTATTAATTGGAAAAAAAAAATTATTTGTGTGATACTTTAGTGTCCATCACTTTCCATAAAAATAATTGTTTTGGAGTCAGTAGTTATGATGTTGTCAGACACTATTGCAGTCACTATGTTGTAAGACACTGTTGCAATTATTTTGTTGTCAGACACTGTCACAGTTGCTATGTTGTAAGACAGTGTTGCAGTTATGTTGTCAGATACTGTTGTAGTCACTATGAGGTAAAACACTGTTGCAATCAATATGTTGTAAGTCACCATTGCTATCACTATATTGTAAGACTTGTAGTCACTATTATCAAACACTGTTGCAGTCACTGTGTTATCAAACTTTGTTGCAGTCACTATGTTGTAAGACACTGTTGCAGTTATTTTATTGTCAGACACTGTCACAGTCGCTATGTTGTAAGACAGTGTTGCAGTCACTATGATGTAAGACAGTGTTGCAGTCACTATGATGTAAGACACTGTTGCAATCACTATGTTGTAATACACTGTTGCAATCACTATGTTTTAAGACACTTGCAGTCACTATGTTGTAAGACACTGTTGCAGTCACTATTTTGTAAGACACTGTTGCAGTCACTATTTTGTAAGACACTGTTGCAGTCACTACGTTGTAAGACACTGTTGCAGTCACTACGTTGTAAGACACTGTTGCAGTTGTTATGTTGCCAGACGCTATTGGAGTTGCTATGTTATAAGATACAACCATCTTAACCAGCATCTGGACTTCTGGAAAGACACTAGGAAAACCTGCTCTTCTCGAAGGTGATGTCCTTTTTTGTAGTTAGTTTTAAAGTACTGTTACCTTAGATAAGCTGTATTTGAGGTGGAAATATTGGAGTATAACGACAACTAAAGTTTTATGTATTAGCTAACCCTAACTAAAATTTATTGTAATTATTATAAAACTGAGTTAAACTCATTATAACTTTAGTATACATTATGATGTTTATGTTTTTTGCTAACTTAACGGTTTTGTCCTAACAGGAATAGTAGGGGTTAAGCCACAGATGGTTGTACAGGCAACCCAAAAATCTATACAGGAGCAGCGGCTCTATCGCTGTCTGACATGCGATGCTATTTGTGAAGTAATTGTGGTGTCCGAGTGGTTGAAACCAGGAGGAACTCTGTACAAAACAGCTACCCAGAATCACGGGCAACTTCAGCAAGATAAGCTGTATTCTTTTCCTATGCAAGGTATGTCACCCTAATCGCTTGAAATGTTTACCAAAGCTCAAAAAGCAACCTGAAGTTGCCTCTTCCTTGACTTCATATTGTGATTTCATTAAAAATGGCAGCACCAAGAACTTCGCAAACAAATTAGGCTTAAGTTTGTTTGTTTTTTACATTAACATGAAAGTTGACCAGAAGGTTATTTTAAAAATACTTTTCTTTAAATTAAATAATTATTATAATATTACTTTAATATATTGTTACGTCTCTGGTCGTTTGTTAATTTTCCGTAGAAATCCTTTCCAAAAAACCAGCGATACAAGTCCTTTCTTAAATAAAACTAGTTTATTCTTTCTCAATACAACTTTGCAATACACTTAATTTCCACAGTCACTTAAACACACACTGTAATTCTCAACGAATGATTCACGCAGTTTACTTACTACTGCGCTTGACTCAATTGTCCATCTATATCTTCAATCTCTCTTTCCGCTATTAAATTATCCCGATTAATTGTCTGGCGCACTTATATAGAAGAATAGAGGGTGCCTAGCAAATACTGGATTATTAGTGAAGTTCCCCGATCTTTTTAGAATTCATTACATGTTAACAGCATCACGTGACTTCCTCTGTCGTAACAATATGTTCTTATTATGTCAATGAACAGTTAATATAAGGTGTGTTTAATGTTTCTGGTGTGATACCAAAAGACTGTAAATATAAAGTATGTTGAACATTTCCATCTTATTCAATTACTTACAAAATTATTAGTTAGAAACAGTTTAGAGAGACTTAAATTGTTCATCGTCCCATCTTTGTCAGTTTTTCTGTTTAGTGTACCAACACCAAAGTTGTCTCTCACATGCAACTTGTACTATCATTGTTTTTTATATAAACTGTAGAAACAATGATAGTACAAGTTTTCAGTATTTGTTGTATTTATATTTCATTCTGATTATTTTCTTAATGTAACACTAGCATTTTTCATGAAGTGTAGTTTTAAAAATTAAAAAAAAATCATAAATAAAACATCTCACTGATATGTGAGAGAAATCATGAGCTAACATTAACAGTTGAAAATGTCTCATTCTTTTTATCTGTAGTTAAGTCGAGGAACATGATGTGATCTTTTCGAAACATTCTTTATGACATAAAAGCATATTAATTTTTTTTCTCTGCAGGTGTGATTTGCCGATATGATGGGAGCAGAGATGAACTGATCCCAGATTTCAGTAGGGAGGCTTTAGAGAAGTGTACATGGTGTCAAGGGTGAGTGTGATTCTTGTTCAGTAGGGAATTATAGCCTTATTAGGGTGAGAATGATTCTTGTTCAGTAGGAATTTATAACCTTATTAGTGTTAGTACAATTCTTGTTCATTAGGGATTTATAACCTTATTAGTGTTTGAACGATTCTTATTCAGTAGGGAATTATAACCTTATTAGTGTTAGTATGATTCTTGTTCAGTAGGGAATTATAACCTAACTAGAGTGAGTACGATTCTTGTTTAGTAGGGAATTGTAACCTTACTAGGGTGAGTATGATTCTTGTTCAGTAGGGAATTATAACCTAACTAGAGTGAGTACGATTCTTGTTTAGTAAGGAATTATAACCTTACTAAGGTTAGTACAATTCTTGTCAGTAAGGAATTATAACCTTACTAAGGTTAGTACAATTCTTGTCAGTAAGGAATTATAACCTTACTAAGGTTAGTACAATTCTTGTCAGTAAGGAACTATAATCTTACTAAGGTTAGTACAATTCTTGTCAGTAAGGAATTATAACCTTACTAAGGTTAGTACAATTCTTGTCAGTAAGGAATTAAAACCTTACTAGGGTGAGGACGATAGTGAATCAATGTGCACTGCTGGACATTCTAGATTTCAAGGTAAGAAATACACAAGATCTAAAATCTCCAATTTTGATTGAAGGTCTTCCTTTTATTTTGCACTGAAAATATGGAAACTTTATTTGGTACACTGATAGATCTTTACAACCTGCAATTAGGTGTCAAATTTGGTCTAAATATAAGCCATATGTGCAAAGTTATTCTACAAAAAGTGCTCATTTTTGACCAAAATTTTTGAGCACACCTATGCAAAAAGTCACGTGATATATCAGGCTGAAGTTTTTACTACAGCTTCACTAAAGAGTTAAGGTGGACTGTTTTTTTTGTCATTCGGATTAAAGATGGCTGATTTAGAGTAGCAAAACTATAAGGTGTGAAAGGACTTGCAGATACATAAATATTTATCAGGCCAAGCAAACTAGATTAGCAGTTTCTAGCTCAAGTTTTCAAAAGAATCATCTGGTTACAGTTATTATTCATTATTAACCTTTAAGCACAAATTTGATAAATTTTACAAATTTTTCCTAATAAAAAGCATTTAGCATCATATGATATTAACTTAAGCATAAATAATGATGCTTGATACGACTGTACTGAGTACACGTGGGTGATGACAAGAAACTGTTAATCTAAATTCCATGGTGTTAATATAAAGGAAGTTATTAACAATGTTTTAGAGAGGAAAACTACCAACATATATTTTAAATAATGTGGTTAGTTCTGTATAGTAAAGGTCTGTTCCGATTAACAGATTTGAAACCCTAAAGCTAATGTTGGTTACTATTGAGTGTCACTTTCTTACTTGCTGTGTTTTGTTGGTGTTTATTGACAAAAATTCATGATATCTAATCAAAAACACTTTAGGTGTGAAAAAAAAAAAGGTGCAGCCAAGGATGTTGGTTACTATTGAGTGTCACTTTCTTACTTGCTGTGTTTTGTTGGTGTTTATTGACAAAAAATCATGATATCTAATCAAAAACACTTTAGGTGTGAAAAAAAAAAAGGGGCAGCCAAGGATGTTGGTTACTATTGAGTGTCACTTTCTTACTTGCTGTGTTTTGTTGGTGTTTATTGACAAAAAATCATGATATCTAATCA